GCCGCTTGCCCTGATTTGGGTCATTTCCTGTAGAAAAGTACTCCCCACATGCAAAGGTAGGAAAGAGCAGACAAACTCAGGCAGTATTTGCCTAGTGTTGTAGCCGTACTGTGTAGCATGACCTTCCTCCCGTGAACAGCTACTAAGACCTGCCATTTCTCAGCCCCACCTTCCAATGCTGATGCCGCCATCCAGCCTAGTTTCCCTCCCAGCCACCCCCAACCCTGCAACAAAGACTTGATCTTATCTCCTCACTGACAGCTGAACTCAACCCCACCACACCATGGTGACCCCAGGTGCCAAGCTCAGCCACTTCCTTTCAATACTGCCAACCACAGCATACACCCTGATGCCACCCCTTTATCCCAGGATCCACCCCTCTGAATGCTTATCCTGATTCCTCCCCTGTTACTCAACCCCCCAGAATTGAGAATCACTCTCCCAGTTGCTGAGTGGTAATTGCACCAGGTAATTGTTACCCCAGAGACCTCCCATTGTCCCCGTCATGCCTTTGACCAAATGCAAAAACTCACCTTAATATAACAAATTATTAAGAAATTGGGGAAGAGGTGCAAATGGTCGGTATCCGTAAAACATGACTCAGGTTGGGTCGTTATCACGGCCTTTTCCTTTCCCTATTGTTCCTTTCAATACCGTGATTTCTTATCTCTGGCTGTTGTTAGATTAGTGCCTTGGTTGTGTACTCAACAGGTGAAAGGTCTTGGCTTTTGTGCCTTCAGCGGCTCAGGCTCAGGAGATTAACGTTGTTTCCTGATACTCTGTTTGATCTAGGCCTTCATGACAGTTTCCAGTTTGGGTAGAGAGATGGGCCTGGCAGGTAAAATCAAGCTCTGGGACTGGACTGGGACCTTACTAGGAGTTTAAGCATATTTGGAACTGAGCTGTGATTTGGACTGGAAGAGTGGGAAGGTCTAAATGTGAAATCCAGAGGCAAGCCTCTTTGAATCACAAGTGAATTGGGGCTCCTCTATCCACATCCAGGCTAAAATGTGACTTTTTGTGCAGAGTTCTCATGAACTCAGTGGGAGCTGTAGGCACTCAATTTCTTTGAAAATCAGGATCTTTATATTTAGATGCATCTAGGAACTCAGTCCTAGGTCTTCATTTCCTGCGGTGTCTCTTTCTCATAGGTCTTGGATGTCATAATGGTTTGAAATGTATCCTGATTCACAGTTCTCTGCTCTGCCATTGACTTCCTTTGTGGCCCTAGGAAAACCATGTTGTTTCTCTGTATCAGTTCCCCTGTCTTTAAAATGGGATTAATAATACTGCCTACCTGATAGAGTTGTAGAAATATGTTAAAGGCTGACTGATGCTTCATTACTAATGGGAGCTATGTAAATACCTTAGACAGGTAGTGTTTGGAGTGCTTGCATCTCTAAGATGACCGGTCATCATCAGGAGGAGGGGGGTCTCTAATCAGGCTGCAGGAGATGAGTTGGTTGTTATCCAGCAGTGAAATATCTTGAGATATTTTAGCCCAATGATTGAGGGATTTGGTGGGTCATGAAGCTGTTTGAGCTAAGCTAGTGTTCGGGGGTGAGCTTGTGCAGTTCAGCTGAGCATAAAGGCCTGTAATTAGTAAAAGGTCAGATCTGATGGCGAGCTGCAGCTGACATGCTAGCCTGCACAATTTGCTTAACAAAGCTGATTCTAAACTGGTTTGAGAGGGTGGTGTAAGTCCTATCCATCTTTGTGACAATCCCTTGAGTCTTGAATAAATAGAAACCAATTTGGTATGGAAAGCAAAAGAGCTTTTTGATTCTCATATTTATTTATAGCTTTTGTTGCTTAGGGCCTGATTTATAACTCAGCTTTCACCTGGCCTTTCACTTGCTTAGCTCCTGTAGTTGTGGGTGAGTGCAAGTATCACTTTAATATCCAACAGCATGACTGAGGGGGTTTAAAACCACTCCCGTTCCCACTCATGGGCCATTACAGCTGGACGTATTGACCCAGCTGAACAACAACTCAAGAATTGTTAATGGTTGGTCATAAAATAGGCAAATCCCAGCCATAAGTGCTCTCTATTCCTTAACTATATCTCCCTATAGTTGCTGTCTCAAGGGATGACGGGAAGTCTGCACTGTGGGAATGCATGGGTGGGAAGGAACATACTCAAGCGTGACCCACCCACCCATTGCTGCTTGTATGAGCCAAGCCCGAATGTGCCGTGTTGAAGCTTCTTTGGGGAATCCCACCGCGGCCACTCTTGAGGCCCCTGTCTCTGGCATGGTAGAGAGCACCACTGCCACATTTCTGGGTTTTATGCAGGCAAGCCAGATTAGACAACCAGGGTATGCTTGTGTGACCTTCCCCAAGAGGGCTGACAGGCCCTGTTGAACAGAACAGGTGTTTGTATCCCAGCCTGACGATGCCCCAAGTTTGGCTCTGCCACCTGATGAGCAGAAGTGAATGTCAGAGTTTAGGCACTGCCCAAATGCCAGCCCCTTCCTCAGCTGTCAGGAAGAAGATAAGGTTTCCAGAGGACTTATACTTCAGTCTCTGATGGACCAGACTGTGCTGGATTTGAAGCTACCTGTCGGGAGGTTTGAACATTGCCATCTTGATCTGGTCACTATGAGGGTTACCCTTTGCCAGCATAATGTTAATTCAATAGCAGGATGTCAGGAAATGCACCCAGGAAGGAGTCTGCCGTACTCTTCCTCCACCAGCACCTAAGAGACTGCACAAAAGCCTTTTGCTCTGATAACCTGGTGGAGCACACCTGAAAGCTTGGGGGCAGCCCATCCGAGCTTGGGCCAGGAGGTTATAAAGACATAGACACTCCCTTAAGGAACAAGACAGGGTGTTGAGATTTGAGACCCAGACCCCTCGGAGGTCCAAGATATGATGAGCCTGGTGGGAATGCTATGCAAGAGAGAGGTGTAGGCCTAAAACCACTGTTCTCTCGTGCTTCATTTATTTTGCCTCAGGACAAGATCGTACTTTTGTTTTAAGAAGGCTGCCTGGTCACTCTGTATAGCATCAGTCACAAGATCCCAAAGGGAAAGGAGGAACTGTAATGAAGTCAGACTGGCTGGGTAACCACTGCGAATGCACAGAGTACCACAGCCCAGGATTTGGTGGTGGAGTGGGAGGACCGCATGACTCTACTCCAGGGAGAGGTGAGGACGGCAGGCTTGACGCCTGCTTGTGGTCAAGAATACTGGGGGACAGAGAGAGAACTGCTAACCCCAGAGCTATGACGGTGGGTGACACCTCCTGAAGGGTATTGCAGGTAAGGGCAGGTTATGGTATCTCTGGAAGGAGAAGACCGCAACTGGATATTTCTAATCCAGAGAGTTCCCTGTTCAGTCAGTTGTTTCTCTTGCATGTTAAGTATGAGCTTAATCTCCCATCTGACAATCTGAAAGACAGCTACCATTTACCTTCACAGGAAGAAAACACCAGGGCTAAAGGGCCCTTTAAATTGGTGGAGGAAGGTGTAACAAGAACCAGCAGTTGGACATTAAAGTCAGCCGCAATTACATTAGAAATAAAGCACAAACATTTGCCACTCCGTTTGATTAAGCATTGGAAGAAATTGCCAAGGGGAGTGGGAGATTCCTCATCTTCTAATTCCTGCAGACGTAGACTGGAGACCTTTCCAAAACAGGTACTTTATTCAGATCAAGTTGCTGGGATATGACACAAAGAAAATAGCTCAGCCTAATCAGAGCATATGATTTTCATTTATTCTTTCAAAGAATATGCAAAAATCACTGGGGAATGATTGTCAACTTTCATCACTGCTGCAATTTCCTTCTGTGGTACAATAATGTTTTGTTCTTTTGTAAATGCTTTGTCCGGAGAGAGAAACTAAGCTGTACCACATCGCATCATTTACTGATACCGGTCCCCCACACCTCACTCCCCGCCAAATGGAGCCCAGACTGTTTGAGCCTTGTTTCACCTTGTGCATACACATTGTAGCTCTGCGACCTGATGCACAGGCCTCACTGGGAGGCCTTGGCCCTCATCTAAGGTTCAGATTTGGTCTCTAGGATGCACTGGGTCTCAGGCTGCATTGTGTGGTGGAGTGAAGCCTTTAGTCATTCACTGTTACACTGAAAATCAATAAATATATTTATACAAAAAAGTTCATATATTAAAAAAATCATTACGCTATTAAAACTCCCCTCTTTCTCAGTCTCCTTATCATTAATCTTTGGATGTTCCAGCTCCTGAGCCCTGATTGAGGAAAGCACTTAAAAGCATGGGATTATGTGTGTCCCTATTCAGGGCAGCTTTTAATCACGTGCTAAACTCCTTGGACTTCAGCGGGAGTGCAGCTTCGTGTCTGTTCTGGGAAGAGGAAAGCTTTCAATCTGTTGGGGGTCTTTCTCAGCCAGCTGATCAGCAGCTGTAATATCTCATTGAAGGGCAAGGTGATGGTGATGGAGGGTGATATGGGGAGGCTGGCAGGACCCCAGTCAGTGACTGGGAAGATGCAAATGCTGATGGGATCCCAAGAGCTGTCAAGCTTTATCAGTTCAGTTTTCACGTGTGTGTACTTCATTCCTTCCCTTTAAAGCTGAACTCCCAGAGGCAAGACATTGTGCAATCTCCTTTAGTCTGCCTTATACACCTGAGTTATCTCACTGACCCAAATGGGTCATTTACTGCAAGCAGGATGTGGCCTGCATAAAGATGGGCTCTGATCCTATGAAGTTCTGAGGGTTGCCTGGGAGAACAGCATCACTGGCACTGAGGACACTTAGTAGGATCAATCCTGTGAGAAGAAAGGGAGTTCTCTTTTAACATATGGTAGGTAGAGTGCTCATGATTCCAGTTCATTAAAAGCCTTAAAACTTAAACCCAAGCACACACGCGCACGCACACATACACACACACAAGTATAAAAATAAAATCTGTCTTCTTGGATTATCCCTGCTGCAGGATCCTACGGCAGGAAATTCCAGCAAGTCCTGAACCACTGAGATCAGCCATGCAGACGTTCAGTCTTGGGGGTGGAAAAGGAGGCTCAAGAGAGCAGTTTCTCGTCTTCCCTTTTAGGACATGATGTAGACCTCCAGCAAGCTGGCGACTGCATGCATCCGATAGAAGATCCCGAAGGGCAAGCAGATGTCCACAATGGCAGACCACATGGACTGGCCATAGAATTCAAGCTCCTGCTTGTTGTCAAACTGAGGCCGGGCGCCAAACGCAGGCATTATCCAGAGCTGTATTGTAGGGAGAGAGAGCAAATAGGATGGTCTCGGTGTGAAAGGTGGGACATGGTAAGTAACTACAGCTGCTTCTGCTAAGGGACTTGAAGGGTGGAACAGACAGAAGGGGGAAGATGCATCTTCTATGTCCAGGACCATATCAGAGATGGCCCTTGCATCCATCCCATTGTCAGGGAAGCCTGTAGTCCTCCAGAAGGGAGAGTACTGGACATTAAAGCCTTGTTTTACTCCCCTCTGTGTACGGGTCCATCCCATTCTTTCCCCGCTGTGCATGCTAAATCCTGGACATAAGGTGATGTAGCTGTATTAGAGTGGCACTGAGTGTGTGCTAATACGTGTGCCTGACTTGGAGAACCGAAGACTGGCTCTGGGTCATGTGCATTATGATGGCTGCATCATCTCACGTCCCTTTTGTTGCAAGTGGGCAGATAGATGAGACCTGAAAGCAATGTTAATGGACCTTAAACACCCTTGATCATGTGCAAACATGGCTTGGTGTTTGGTGACTCTAAAGACTAATCTGTGCTTGGCTTGTTTGGAAGGAAACATGCCTCTTCCTCAGAGCTGCCCTATAAATCAAAGACAAGGGATGCTCAAACTACCCCCAAGTGCTTCCCCTGACAGCATGCAGGATGAAGGCATGACTATAAGACAAGGGAAGGCTTCTCAAAGAAGCTACTGCAGGCTCTGAGGTCTGTCAGTGGAGGTTGAGTGCAAGCTGACCTGGAGATGAAATGCCAGCCCCACTGAAGGCAATGGGATTTCTTTTCTACCACTGTCCTCACTACAAGTAACCTTCCATCTCTGTTTTAAATGCCTGCTACTGAATTTAATTTCTTTGGATATGTAAGAAGAGAAGTTAGATCAGGCTCTAGATGCATTTTCCTTGCATAGAAAAAGGAATGGTAAAGGGTTATTGCACTTAATGAAAAATATTGGACCTGACCTCCCCTCTCACTTGTACCAGTTGTACAAATTTTGGGGGTAAATTCTCTTCTGGCACAAATTGCAAAACCCTGCTCTAGGTTGGTGTATCTGTACCTAGCTATGCCGTTGGAATGCTTATTCCTATAGCATCTGTGAGTTCAGAACAGGTGAAGTGAGAGGCAGGTTGTGCTTATGTTTTTTTCCCCAAAGGAGATCCCAGAAACTTGCTAGTGTGCTTTGCTGCTAGGTACTAGAGCAAGTTTTCCTTAGACTACATGCTCTCTTCCCCCAAGGCAGAGAAAATCCCCATTCAGAAATGTACTTACAATTACATTGGACAGTAGCAGGAACAAGGAGATCTCCCTCAAGAATTTGCTCCTCCAGTTCACCTTTTTGGGTGTCCTTATGGACTGCACTTCATCAGAAGCTTGGATTGCTCCTGGGGTGGGGGGTGGGGTGGATCCTAGTACGCTGCCACCATCGGGGATCCGGAGGGATATAGTGTTGATGTTGACAAAGGTGAGTCCATATAAATCTTTCCGGTGGGAACTGGTTTTGTGTCTGTCTTCAGGGGGCTGCCGATGAAGGCCTTCGATGATGAAGATGTTCTGGAATGTATGCTGGGCGATCATCAGCAGCGAGTAGGTCAGGTTGAGGGCACTTTTGGTATCCCTTGAAGTGCTGGCCACAACAGCCACGATGGAGTAATAGGAGATGGCATACTGTCCTAGGGCTGCCCCCATTAATAAGGCCACATCCAAAGTTCTTGTTGGGTTCTTGTGACGGTCCATGTCTCTCTTGTCAAACCTGTAGACGATGGAGCCTCCAATGCAGACCGCAGACATCAGGCTTAGGCAGACTACGTTGAAGATGTAATACATGATGAGTGCTTGGTTCTTTATCTCCTCATCACTGTGGGTGTTCACTTGCACTTCATACACTATGAGAACCCCCAGCCCACTCACCAGTACGACGAGCCCCAAAACTATCCCCACAAAGAAGGTCCTTCTGAAAAGCCTGAACTTCAGGCGGTGGACAAGGTGGGCGTGATCGTCTATGAGGCGTCCAACATTCTTCCACATGACATACACCATGGCAGAGGCAAAGAGACTGTACTCTATATTGAAAGGGTACAACCAAAAATAGCCGTTCTGGAAGATCTCGCAGATTTGGGTTTTGCATTTACAGATATCTGCTGAGGAAGATTTTCCAGCTAGAATCAAAAAGACATAAACATGTTACAGTATTTTTGTAGAGCTCAAGCTTTAAGCAGGTGGCTCTGAAAAGCCTGGGCAGGCTCACTGAAATCCATGAGCAAAGGTAAAAGTAGATGTCATGACTTTTAAACATCAGACCAATTAAACTTGAGGTTACCTTTTGTTAAACATTAGACAACAACCCTCTCTTCCTCTCTCTGCCCATTTCCCATCCCTTCTTTTTTCTTTCTGTCCTGTCCCATTTCTTCCCCTCCTTTCCATTTTCCATTTTTCCCTGCATCCTTCCCTATTCATTTCAGTCCTGCTTCTTCAAATCCATTCCCCATTCTGATCCCTCCTAGGTGCAAACTGAGAAATAAATACCAAAGGCCAGATCATGATATTTCTGCTCAAACTAAATAGTACCTTAACTCTATGTGGTCTTTCTGCATTCATACATGAGTTACCACTCAGCATGAATAAAGGTGTGAGAGTGCTTTGTACCTCTGTGGCCTACACTTCAGGCCTTGGCAGCTTTTAATAACTGGCAAATTACCTTTCATAATCCATGTTCCCATTTGCTCAGTTGTGGAGTTGAATTTTGAGTGTGATTTATGCACAGACTCATCCGTTACTGCTGACATCCACACAGCCAGGTTCGTGGTCAAAGTCAGCATCAAGCCACACCTGTACAAGAGAAAGGAGATCCATGGTGTCAAGACTTGGCCTACTCCGGGCCTCAAAGTGCTCTTCAAACATTGGTGAATTGATTGTCGCTACCGTAAGGCAGGCACAGGTCATCACCCCTATTTTATATAGAGAGAAACTGGAGGAGAGCCAGTGATTGCTTGAGTTTACAGAGGAAGTTGCTGGAGAAAAGAAACCCAGGTTTCATGACTCCTGGTCTACTGCTCTAACCACTCCTTGTTGCTTTCCCTTTTCATACTGACTAGTAAGCTTTGATTAAGTCTTGATTCCTCTTGTTTCCAGCTCAGCCTTGTAGCAGGGAAGGCCTGGAAATCCGGTGGGCTAACGGGTCAGAGTTGGCCTGTCCAGAAAAGTGGATTCAGCCTTGCAAACGGAGAATGTGAAATGCATTGATTTGGTTTCTTGTTCTTTCAGCCTTTGGATCTTCCTGCTGCTCTGTGGTGCTTTGTCTTCCTTCTCTGGTGCCAGGGAGTCATTCAGGAATGCTTTAAAGTGCTATTCACTGGCTTTTTTAACTGTGCCTTTGGGCTACTTGTGGGGATCACTGCTAGATCCCAGAACACAAGCCACCAGTGCCTGAGCTAAGAGCCACAATTGTGAGAGGCTGATGTGCCCTGCTTTGATTTTGGCTATAGGGGGCCCTTACCGGGGAAGGAATACTGGTATGAGTGACAGGGAGATGGGCAGTAAAGTAGGTGCCTCTGACTGCAGCAGAGGCTGTGTGTTTGTGGCCGAGGGCTGGGGGGCGGTATACAGAAGTCTCCCCCCCACTCCCAGCTGGGCGAAGTACTTGCCTGGTGACATCCAGGTGCACTTGGACACAGTGTTTGGCGGAAATCCATAGAAAGTATGTCTGAAAAAGATATAAAGAATGATTTAAAAGGCTCCTCAAACCTGCCAGGCAATGGGTCTAGCCACTTCCCCACTTTTCATCTGGCGTATTATCCCTCCCACCCTTCTCCTCTGGCATCACTCCAGGTCCTTTTACTTCCTCAGTTGTTGTAGCTGCCCCATGTTCTCCGCTTGTGCTCTCACAGATCCTCCTCCTGCCTATGCCTGCTGTGGCACTACCTGCTTCCACTGTACCTCACTGCACATCATTTGCTCCTGTTTCCTCTGCTTTACTCCACAGCATTCATGGAGAATGGGGCTTCCCAACCTGGAAGTCAGATTTCCCTCCCTTCTGCCACTGACAATAAAAAACAGATGTCAGGGGGCATGGCCACCCCCTGCCCTTTCTGTATGGTTAATGGAAGAGACCAGCTAGATGAGAAGAGGATTTCAGGCAGGCAGTCCTGGCAGATGATAGCAATTTGTGCTATGGAAAGCATCTATGAGCCACTGACCCACAGCAAATCACGATTGTGTATTTATTTATAATAAGTGATCAAGTATGTTCTTGCAGATCGAGAAATGTATGTGAGCTGGCTGGGCCTTCCCTGGGAAGCTCAGTTCAGTCAAAGGGGGCACCTGAACTCCCTGGTCAGATAATAGCTGAGGACCCATTGGGACTCCCTGATGCATTGTACCAGGGCTCAGCCTGGCTTCTCCAGCATGCCCGGCTCACCTGGATGATCACAAAGATGGCCTGCACAACTGGGTAGATGATTTTGATGGCAATCTGGCAGTTCTCGAAGCTGGAGTAATACCCAATTTTAAACACATCCATCACAAGGCTGAAAATGGCAAACATGACCAGGCCTCCTGTGGAGGAATCAGAGGAAATCAGAGGTGCTGCGGCGCGCATGTGTTGGGTGTGGAGGCATGAATGTGTGCAAATAGGTGCTAGTACCAGTGGACAAAAGGAGGAAGAGACGCTGTTTTGCTATTTAGAGGTTGATGCCACCTTAGGATTCTCCTCTGAATAGTTCAGGTCTGATTTTTACCTGAATGGTAGAATCAGGCTGATGCATTCCCCATAGAGCACTTATGTTTGAGCTTCCACCATGGCCTCATTCAGTATCTGCCCTTCACCCAAAGACTTAGCACGAGGGGGTCTCCCTTACCTCTCAGCCAAACAGGCCCTGCATGGGAGTCCTTGTAGAGGATGGCATTCTGGCGTTTGGAAGTGCCAACAAGGTAGAAGAATATCCAGATAATGACGATCAGCATCATGACAGGCAGCAGAGAGAACACGTCATAGTCATGCACAGCGATCTTCTCAAAGGCCCCACTGCTCACTAGGGTGCAGGCTAATAGCACTAAATGGATAGCCAGCAGGATGGAGAACAAGCGCCCTCCTTTCTTCCAGACCTCCTTGGGCCTGGACGTGGAGGGAGACAGGTGAGGTTGATGGGACAAGGTGTCCTTGTCATCTTTGTGACCCAAGCTCACGATTGAGTCTTCATGTCCGATCTCACTGTCGTTTTGCACGGGATCCTCTGGCATGGTTCAACTAGTGCTGGAGGCAAGGGGTCGTGCTGTTGGGAGTAGAAACCTATGTTACAAAATCAGTGTGGCCTATGGCTGAGACAAAGGGGGTGGGGGAAGCTGGAGATACTCAAAGTAGAAGTCAGGGGAAGGCAGGAGAGCAAGAGATAAAGAGGGATGACTGCTGATATTTTTCCCCCCAAATTCCACCCCAGTCCAGATATTTATCAGATAAATACCTACTACAGCCATGTTTCTCTGAAGTAACTGTGCTAGTGTGAACTCATGGGATACTATTATGAGAGTCCCCTATAGAAGCCTGAAGAAGGTTCAGTATCATAGGAAGATGCAGCTACTAGAGGGAAATGAGAAGAAATTCCCCTGTCTCACTTTGTCCCATTCTGCTGCTATTCTTTCCCCGCAAGACTTCTGCGCTCTCAATGCCAGTTTATTTTTAATGGGGCTGCACTTCTCATTCAGGATACGTAGTCTGTTTCTGCAGTTGTTGGAATGCAAATTAGCATCCGTCTCCCTGCTACGGGAACGCCTTAGATTTTAACAGGTTTGTTTAAGAATGTGGAAAACACTTCATCAGTCACGTTTGGTCATTGATACCATTTTGGTTGTGCGTGCTGTTTTGCTGCCTTTGAAATGTCATGTTAATGCATGCTTAAGCATGTAGGAATGAATGTAATGTTAGTTGAACATGAAAATTAATTACACAGGTAGCACATGCCTAATAGACAATGTAACATGTTTATTGATGTAACCTGTCAGAAAGCACTGGGATGCAGGTAAGATCAAAGGTCTTGGGGCAAATGTTTGCATTTAAGCAGCAGCCTTGAAACCTGAAGACAAAATGCCATGCATGCTATGTGGCATGAAAAGAGACTAATTGAAGCAAGAAGCATGAGAACTCTTCAGGCTAGCACATCATGGTCCATACAGATGTATGCATTAAAAGAAACAAAGTCACTTAGGCATTTTTTCTAGCTTTCCAACTCATCCAGTGCATGTTGCTACTTGCCCTGGATCAGCTCAGTACTTCTGCATGAAATCATGAGTTTATCATAACCTAAACCTGAGGCGAACTATCCTCGAGAGCCAAACTAGCATGTAAAAAGCTAAAAACTGTTCCACCAACCTGCTTTCCCACTGGCAGCCTGAATCTCCGGTCTGTCTTGAGCTTCTCGGCAAAGTTCCTCTTCTCTCAAATCAAGTCAGCCAAGGAATTTATACCTGTTTGGACATCTTGATTTACACCATCTCTGGAACTGACAATGCTGCTTCATAAACTCAGTAAAGGTCACATGCTCCATTTTGTGCAATGGCTGATTTTAGGGAAGAAAGAGAGAGATGGGGAGATAAGAGTTATATGAGGAGAGGTGTGAACATGGCTGGGCATGACTTTGGCCACCCCACTAGGTCATGGGTTACAGGAGGAAAAGGTCTGTTAGCTCAAGTTCATCCCCCTGGAAAGGATGGTAGTTGTTTCTACCCAGCTATTACGACATATTAGATGCTAAAGGGATACTTCATTTGATCTCGGCTGCTGCTCATGGGCTGGACCCTCACCAGCTGTTGTGTTCCAGCCCATATTGCTCCACTCATCCAGGTGAAGCCTGACCCATCTGGACACATTTGTGAGAGAAAGAAAAGAACCCATCCTTATATCCTTTTGGTCTTGGGCCCTGCCTAGCTTCTCCCTGCTCTACTAGTGATTAGGGCAGCATAGTCACAGGACCGAGGAGAACAAGCTGTCCTCACTCACTTGGTCATGTGGCTCCAGGCAACCCTCTGTCCCAGTGGTTTTCAATCTTTTTTCATTTGCAGACCCTTAAAAAAAATTGGAATGGCGGTGTGGACCCCTTTGAATTGTAAGTGTGGGTACTCACATACTTTTGATTGACCATAGTCATCTTTACAGGCCCTTAGACATAGTCTGCGGACCCCCAGGGGTCTGTGGACCACAGGTTGAAAACCACGGCTCTGTTCAAATGCAGCCTCAGCCCTGCTGGGCTGGAATGACACCTTCCTCTTTGCCATCGCTTCATTTTCCGTTGCTGTCTTTCATCAAATGATAAGCTTCCCTACACCCCTGAAAGCTTCCCTATAGGAACTCTCGCGCATTTCCAAGTCATAGAGCCATTGCATTTCACTTCTGTAGCCAAATATTGGGCTCGCAGCTGCTCAGCCTAAGAACAAAGCTGGTCCTTAACAAATAAAGAGAAGTACGCAATGTGTTGGTGAGCAATCTCTTACAACAGACAGCTACCAGGTAAGAATGACCTCCCCTCCAGGTATCACTGAAATTTCATGTCTCCCTTGCAGCTTTCTTTGACTCAAATAAGGCTAATAGGGGCTGAAGAGGGTCCTCCCAGACCTATGTTCCTATCTCCTCTGTTTTCTTTCCTGCAACAATTTATTGGGGTTTGGATAGAGACTGAGCTATAGTCTGTGGATCTTCATTCCCTCCGTTACCAACAAATGCCCCTTTTCTCTGCAGTACGTTTGCACTGCAGTGTGGTATATAGACACCCAAGATAGCAGTACACAAGCTAGTGGGAGTACCAGAAACAGCCTGACTTTATGCTAAGGATAGGAAGACTCAGCTTAACCATGACTGTTTCCCCTTTGCTGCCCTATGTTGGCTGGGACGGGGGCTGTTTTGTCCCCTTTTGCCCTGCTTTTTGCAGTACCCTCAGCTAATTTTTTCATCCCCTCTGTATTTGTGTCTGTTAGTGCATTGCTTCCCAGCTCCCTCAATAGACAGAAATGGAAGAGTTAGAATTTTCTTCACTGAGTAGCAGGAACTTCAACTCTGGCATCACCTTTATAATCATAATGAGGAGGATAGTAATAATTATAGAATTAATACTTAAGTAATAGGGAGCTTGCATTACAGGGCGGCCTTTCATCCAAGAGGATCGTCAAAACAAACAGCTCATTATCAAATCACTTACCCTCTTAGGGCCAAATCTGGACAATGACATAAGTGGATACAATTCTGTTGATGTAAGTAGTTTCTACGTCTGAATTTGGCCTCATCTCTAGAAGACCTGTATGCTGCCTAGGGGACTTGGGGAGTAGTTGTCTTCATTGAGATCCATTGGTGTGACCTCAGCCTGTGTGAACAGAACCAAGCTTGCTTTAAGCCAGCTATCTTGGGTACAGCAAATTGTACCTGTGGTAGGACAGGTAAAAGCTTCTGTTTACAAAATCCTTTGAAGATGGGGTGGGCCAAGAGCCATTGCTTAATGCCATCTAGGGTGTCAACAGATGTCACATTTATCCTGGGAGAAACTATTTTATCCTGGGACAAAGTCCAATTGTACAGATGGTCATGTTTACTGTCCTGGGATAAACCCTAAAAACATGTCCTGGCTAGGAGGCCGTAACAGTTTATCCCAGTATGTCTGTACAGTTATCACAAGATTGCCTGATTAATCAATGGCAGCAAAGCAGTGCTACATTCAGCCACTAACCCTCGATTAGAAGGGTGATGTATGTATATCCAAAACCAGGATATTTTTGTTCTGGGACAAACACAGGTACAACTTATCCAGGGACAAATGCAACATCTGTTCCTAGCCTAACTCATATTATCCTTGCCCCCTTAGCTTCAGCATCTCTCTTGCTCTGTCCTTCCCGTCTCTGTATCCTCTTTTAAGTCCCTTTCTCCCTCTCTCCATCCCTCCTTTTCCCTTCCTCAGTATTACTTTGTCTTTCATCTCAGCCCTTTCCCATTCCCTCTTTTTGCTTTTCTCTTTTCTTCCATCTCTCCCCCACTCCCTGCCTTCTTGTCTGTGTGTCTTGTCCCCTGGCCCCAAATGCCACTGATCCACACCAAGCACAGTCCTGTTGACTTTGGTGGGGATTTGGCTACTGGTGCCTTTAAACGAACCCTTTTCCAACTCCCATAGCCCAGGTGCTCAGGGATCCCATGAAGCCTGAGAGAGCAACAGGAATTTTCTTGCACTTTATACTGCATGTCTCCCTTATGCGCTCCGGGAATGGGAGGCAAGGTGGAGTGCAATGCATTGGGGTACCCCCCGGCCAGACAGCAGAAAGGCTGGTTGTGGACTTGGTTTTCTTTGAACACCAGAGGGTGCCACAAGACTGTGAGAGCCAGAGAAGTATTAATCTCTGAGCTTCAAGGGAAAGCAGCAGGCAGTAGCGTTTCAAGGTGGAACTGCCCCAGCACTTAGGAGCATGTGGGAATGGGACAGTCCCCAGGTCAGTGCTGGATTTGTCAGTCTGCTGGTTTTTAACCTATGTCAAGAAAGCTGAGGCCAAATCACTTATAGGGCCCCAGGAGTCCTCAGATAACCACTTGGGATGCTCTGCTGGGCAGAGGCAGGGGACTGTGGAGCCCAGGCAGGCTCTGATGCTATATAGGTGCTCTATATTTGCCCCTGAGCTTGGTGGGAAGAGGCTGCTGTGGTGGGCTGGGGTTGCATGTGTAGCTCATGCAGGCAGGCCTCTTTGTGCACACATACATACCACTATTATGTCTTATTTTTACCACGAAAAAAACAGGCCAGAATCATCATCCTCAAAAATAGGCCAGAATCATTTTCAAGAGGAGACTGGATGGTCACCTCGCTGGGGTCGCTTGGCCCCAGTTGTCTTCCTGCCTAGAGCAGGGGGCTGGACCTGATGATCTGCAAGGTCCCTACCCTTCCCTTACAATCTATGAATCTGAAAAATAAGCACTAGAAAATGAATAAACGGCCTGAATTCTAGCCCAGGCATCACACTTTGGTCCCTGCAACTCCTGTCCCCCTGGAAATTGGGAGGGTCTCATGATGTCGGTGCAGTTTCTTTGCTTTTCCCTGGGTGCAAGTGGCAGCAAATGCCAGTCTTCGAGCATTGCACGGGCCCCGATGCTGACCTGTTGGCCCATATGCCGCCCCAGGCTCTCTGGCATTCAGGGTGCCGTGGTAGGTATATTGGAGGAGGACATGAGCCTGAGTTCAGTTAGCTTTTCCCCCCACCTACAAGGTTTGCTGAAGGAG